TCAACGTTAATACGTGATCGCGTTTAGCGGCATTAAGGCTTATTGCNAGCTTCAATTATTATAGCAATTAACTAGCTTAAGAAGGGGGCTAAGGTAATAATGCTCTCGGCTAAGCTAATGCGCGATCGGATAGCCAGCTCTAAGAAGGTGAACGAAGCCGCAACAAAGCGTAGGCAGCGTAAGAAGAAGCGGATACAGAAGCAAGGAGTGCTAACAAAGGGAGCTGGAGAAGATCTACTCGCTCAGCGCGAGGCTGATCAGCAGATTGCTTATGAAGAGCGTCAAGGAGGAGAGCGATCAGGTGTTAGCCGCCAGGCTCTAGCGCGGTGTAGCAGGTGTAGAGAGACTGGCCATAATTCGCGTACATGTAAGAAAGATACTCTAGATAGTATTTAATCCATTACCTTAATATATATAAATTTTATTTAGTTATAGTAGAGCTGTATACGTAGAGAGGTGTGCAAAGTTGGTGGGGTGCGCCGCTCGCTTGTACGCGCCGCTCGCTTGTAAAACACGTTACCCGTTGTTCAAAGATGGTTGTACACCAAATCAACAAAATCAACTAAGCTATATTCTCATTTGTGTAAATATTGATTATTTTTATTCTAATACCTAACTTAATACCAACAAAGTCATTTGCACAACACACAAACCCTTGATCCATGCACACCCTGTCACCCGACATTAGTCCTCTATCCACACCGCCATGTGACCAAACATAAAGTATGACATGTTAATTTCCCCCCCCCCCCCACGTCCCAAACAAACCCTCCCGGACTTGGAATAAAGAGCCCAGATTTAATAAGGTAATATGCGATAAATTAACTCCCTTGCCAACTCTAATCCCCCAAGCCCGGCGCCCAGCCCCCAATCGCTTGACACGAAAAAACTCAAATCATAACATTTTGCATTTGGCGACCAACACCACACATCCCTGGTAATAACGGCTTTGTAATAATTAACAAGGTAACATCAATCTAATTTCAACCCTCACAACTCCTGATAGCCCTGACTCCACCTCCCACCCCCCTTTATTCCATAGACCTAGCCACATGAACACACGAAATAACGATGTTGTAAAAAAATGCAAACATTTCATTCCGGCTACGCCCTTCCCTCCCCCCTTCGCGCACACACCTTTACATATACGAATGCAATCCATACATATTTCCATAGTTAAATTTTTTTCTCTCCTTATAAATCAGTAATGAAAAATAAAAGACCAAGATTCCCCACCCACCTCGTTCATAACTGTTGCAAAAAATAACCTCCGCAACTAACATCCCATTTGATTGCCACCTCAACGGCGACAAAAAGAAAGAAAGATGAGGGGGTTTGCTATAAGTAAACTTATGGCTATAGATGTAAAATATATAGAAAAAAACTTGCTTGCCAAGTTTGATTTTGCAACACAAATGAAAAAAACGCCCTTACAGATGCAAAAGCCAAAAAATTAGAGAATTCGACAAAAAGCGAAAAAAATAAAATCGATCCGGGAGGGGATCGCGCCTATTGAGTTATCTTCATGGTATCTGAACAAAATAATGAGAAAGAAAAAGTTCAAAAATAGTAAGAAAGGTAAATAAAGGAGGAACGTTAGAAAACAACACTTTCGGTTGAAATATGTGTGGACATGGAGGTTTGGGGGAAGGAACCGTTTCATGTACATTTTTTTTGTGGTTGAACAACAAACAGGCGCCATTTTTTTCTCTTTATGTGTGTGTGTGTGCTCGTCATCGTAATCATAACCACCACCACATGAGAAGGGGGGTATATAATTGTGTCTGTGTGTCTGTGTGCCCAGGTATTCTGAGTATGATGCCGCCAAGAGGTGGGCTTGATTCTCGAGTCAAGGACCGCCTGCAAATGCAAATCCCAGCTCTGAGCCATTTGCACGTCTCCGAAGAGAGCTGGATGCTTCGCTCGTACATGCCCTTTGTTTGTTGTTCCTGTTTGCGGCGGCGGCGTGAGTGACGCTGTAGTGTAGGACTAAAGTGTTTTTTTACTGCTCCGATGATGCTTCACCGTTTCTTCCATACCGATTACGGATCTGTTACATCGTCCATAATCACGTCACCGGCGCTTGTGTCTTGTACCAACGGCGAGGTTGCAGGGAGAATGGCAGACCGTGGGCGGTTATAGTCGACTTCGAGACGATCAGGCATACTCGCTGGGGTAGATGATCGCGAGTCGTAATCTTCTTCGGCGGGTGGTGAAAAGTCCCATACCTAGTCAGCCTTGTTAGTATCATAAAGTCATGTCCAATGTTTTCGGCTAGCTCACCTCCATGATGGTTCGACCGCCCCGACTAGCCATAATGACAGCCTTCTCTTCCTCAAATACCACCCTCCAGACAGCCTCTGCAGGGCTGCTCAACTCTCGCACAGGAACCCCGGTCTTGAGATCCCAGACCTTGACACGGCCATCGCTACCACCACTGACAATTCTCGTATTGTCAAATTGCAGACTTGTGACGCTGTTGTCGTGCGCGGCTAATCGGTGAATAGCCTGGTAGGTTGCAAGGCTCCACACACGGACCGATCCGTCTGATCCACCAGTCACAAGGATATCATCACGCATTTGAAGCTGTCCAACAAGCGAGGTATGGCCCTGTAGTACAGCAAGACATTTACTGCACGGGAATATTAGTCTCCAATCATATCGTGACACAGAATCGGACTTACCCATCATTGGGATCCCATATCCGGACGCTGGTGTCCAGACTTCCTGTTGCAATCTTCTTGCCGTCAAAGGCAATGGCATAAATCTGGCTAAAATGTCCGGTCAACGTGCGGAGGCACTTGCCCTCTGATATGCTCCAAATCTTAGCTGTAGTGTCATAGCTCCCGGACACAACAATGTCACCGTGTATCTCGAGACACCGGACGCTGGCTTGGTGGCCAATAAGTACGTGCTTGCACAGTCCCTTCTTCAGGTCCCAGATGCGCAGTGTGGTGTCCCTGGATCCGGAAATGGCCGTGTTGGCATCGGACATCTTCAGACATCGCACTGTTGACGTGTGACCACGGAGGGTGAATTGTGGGAAACTGTGTATGCGGGTTAGTGACTGGTATTAGTTGAAGCGCAGAGACCGTACCCAGTTGCAAGATTCCAGACGCGCACATCGCGGTCGCATCCTCCACTGACCAGGAGATCACCCCACGGCACCATTGCCCACACGCCCATGACGTGTCCTTGGAGCGTCTTTTGGTGGTCGCCAACGGTATCGAATACGTGTATCTTGGCATTGTCAAGCGCAACGACAATGTACTTGTTAGTCAGATGTAAGCTGGTCACCACGCCCTGGTCCGGGGTGATCTGTCGCGCGTCACAAACTCCGCCATTGCGCCACGCAGTTTCCACCATGTATCGCTGCTTGAAATGTGATCGATATGTGGTGGCCTGCTGCTTTCGTTGAGATGGTTTCCTCTTAGCTGCACGGTCGAGGCTTTGCGTTCGCAGTCCTTCGGGACTACTATTCGAGGGTCCGACTTCAAGGTGGTCGCGTGCTGATGATGCATCATCCAGCCTGGCCGTGCGCTCATCATCGTGCCACCACGGCTTCGACTCTGCATCTTCCATTTGGTCATTTGGCTCGTCCTCTTCCATCTTGTCCTGTTTTGGTAGCGCTCTGAACGAGAACTTTTGGCAGAGCAACCGCCAAGCACTGTCGTCATTGACGAGCTCACGCCATTTCTTGGATACTTGCGATGCCCGAGCTAGAGTGGTAGGGTCATCTACACATTCGAGTATCTAAGTGAGGTTAGCCATAGATACCAACGTAACGGTACAAATCAGAACGCACTCTCAAACAGAGTTCAGTAGGCAGAACCATGAACGGGTCCTTCTTTAGTCTGGGACTGACAAACTCGGCAACAAAGCTCAACTCTTGGCTGTCGCACAGGTTGAGTAGCTCACCGAGCAGCCGCATGCGCTCTGCCCGGTTCATGTCGCCAAACTGTGCCCGTATGCTCTTGATGTCGCCATCCTCGTGTTCGGCGGCGGTACTCCAGTCCGGCACCCGCTGTGTTGGCGTAGGACTTGGCGCGGGTGTGGGCGGCGAGGCGGGCGCCGACGGCAGCAGATTGTGCGGAATCGTCGAGGAAAGCGGACTGGTAGGTGTGATTATGGGCCTGGGTGCTCCTGAGCGAGACATGCGACCTTTGCGCCCGTGGACGCTGGGTGAGGTGTACATGGCGGATCGCGAGGATGAGGCTGTTGCGCTGGCAGAGGCGGCCATGTCTGTGTCCGAGTCCTCGATGGGGGCGCCGGCAGCGTCCTGGTCTTCTCGCACCGGCGTGAAGTAGTCGGGATCCATGGCGGAGTCGGTGGGTGCAGAGCAGACCTGGGCTGGTGTGGTCTGACGCTCCCTATGTAGTGCAGCGGTCGGGGTAGAAGGGGTGGGCGGCGGATTGGGAATGTCACGGAGCAGTGAATTAGCGGAGGGGATATGGGGTTCAAAAAGTCGACGGGATCCGGGCACACGAGGGTTCGAGAAGGGAAGAAGGTTTGCAGACGTTTGGGGTGGGTAGGCGCGACTGAGTGACGCCGGCGGTCAGCCAAGACATCACTGGCTCAGCCCTGGAAACCTCAGACCTCGCCCATTCCCATTTCAAGCTTCTGCTCACAATCCCTGCATGCGCACTTGGGGCGAAGGAGCCTAGTTTGCACACTTAATTCTCCTCCGCCGCACGCTGCCTGCCCGCTTGGATGCCATGCCTTGTGTATCCCAAAATTAGCCTGGTGTCTGCATGTCGTCAAACGCTCAGGGGATCATGCGGCGTCTCAAAAGCACCACATGGACTCTCAAGGCCTTTGCGAACGCCACTTTGCCCCCGTTCCCGAGCCCCGATCGACGAACGCAAAACAAACCCTCAATATTAATTCTCTGCTCGACCTTTGCAAGGGGCAGCCTGACACTGCCCTCGCTGTCCTGTCTGCCAAGTGCACCATGGCTGCGTTGTCCTGTTATTTCCATGTTGCACGTCTCCAAACACGCTGCAACACCACCCATTGGCACTACGGCGCTTAGAGCTATCCGCCTGTACCGGGCACCCAAGACATTCCTCCTCGAGTCCGCCCATCCCACACTGTATCCATTGTGGCCATGTCTTGTTGTTTACCATGTTCATGAGGTAGCCGGACACCTCCTTTTGCCCACCTGGTATGGTGCCCTGTCTGCCCGTGGACGGTGCACGGTTGTCATAGGCGAGCGGCTCCATGGAGCCTCTATCCATCGTCGGAGCTTAAGAGGTAACCGAGCCCGGGTGCTTCCCTACAATTTTACGTTCTGGCCATTGTAGACCCACCTGCCAGGTATTTTTGTACCTGAACTAGGTCCGTTTGCCGGACATTGCAAAAGGCCACTGTGCCCAAGGCCCAGCTGATCGGCCTTGAGATGTGCAATTCATAGAGTAGACCGGACTTGGTAACTTGTTTTTTTCCCAAGCCTTGTGCCGCAAAAGCATCATCAACATCTGTGACGGGGCGGTTGAGCACACCCTTTTTGAGATTGAGGGAAGATGCTAACTTAAGAATACGTCGTGTGTTTCAAAGAGCGAAGTCCAGCCGAGTATCAGGTTGGCGAGACAAAAAACACTGATGGCCACTGAGGCTCTAGAGTATTGCGCAGTAAGATGATGCCCTTCTTTATCTGGCAAAAAACCGAGGGCACGCGCAAAGGCACGATCGCGTTCCCAAAGAGGCTTGGCACGACGGGGGTCGCTCGAGGAAGCACGCCATCTTCTTGCGACGTCATTGGGTCCGGCATGGTCGCATTTCCATTACTTTCGCGCGTTGCTGTTTGTAATCCAGAGCCTAGCATCGTCATGGAACCTGTGTACTTCGCCTCTACCCTCGCATTACCTCTGTGCTCGACCTGCGAGCGCTGTGGGTAGCAGACAACAACCATGAGCGTCCCCCGCAATCTGCTTACTCGCGCGCGCCCATTGACATTCGCGTCGTCTACCCCACAATGTTTCGCACCGAGGTCAACCCACACGTCCCTAAGGTTTGCGAGACGGCAGTCGAATCAACCTGCGCGAAAGATTCATAATCAATATCCGCGCAAAGCCCAACATGCCTCCTCTGCTCATGAAGTCGAATCGTCCAACCCCGCTCTCTCTTTTCCCTGTCTGGATGCCCACGAGTCGCGCTCTGCATCACTCTCGAGGAAACGGTCGTCATCTGGCCCCGAGCCCTCGTATACATCCGGTCACACGCTCAACTTCCACTCCACACAGCCGATACTCCTTGACTGGGGTGGTATACTGCCAGAGTTCAACATTGCATACGAGACCTGGGGACAGCTGAACTCGAGCAAGAGTAATGCAATCTTACTCCATACCGGTCTTTCAGCATCCAGTCATGCCCATAGTACCGAGACGAACACGAAGCCAGGATGGTGGGAGAAATTCATTGGGCCAGGAAAGCCACTGGATACTGACAAGTACTTTGTCATTTGTACCAATGTAATTGGAGGTTGCTACGGCTCGACCGGTCCCTCGTCCATTGACCCTGCCAATGGGGAGCGCTACGCGACACGATTTCCGATCCTCACCATGGAAGACATGGTGCGCGCGCAGTTCCGACTGCTGGACAACCTAGGCATCCAAAAGTTGTATGCAAGTGTGGGTTCAAGCATGGGTGGCATGCAGAGCCTGGCTGCTGGGACTCTATTCCCCGAACGGGTGGGCCGTGTGGTTAGCATCAGCGGGTGTGCCCGCAGTCACCCCTACAGCATCGCCATGAGGCATACTCAACGACAAGGTCAGTGCATGGAGTCTGCTAGCCCTGTGAACACGAGTTAATGTTACGGCAGTGTTAATGATGGACCCAAATTGGGCTCGAGGGTTCTACTACGATGGCATTCCTCCACACGGCGGCATGAAGCTTGCTCGAGAAATCGCTACAGTTACCTATCGTAGTGGACCGGAATGGGAACAGCGGTTTGGCCGACGGCGCGCCGACCCTTCACGGCCCCCAGCATTATGCCCAGACTTTTTAATCGAAACGTATCTCGACCACGCGGGAGAAAAATGGTGCCTGGAATATGACCCCAACAGCTTGCTCTACGTCTCCAAAGCCATGGACCTCTTTGATCTCGGCCAAGAACATCGAAACCGCATCAACGAAGTGCGCAAGGCGAACAGCGGAAAGATACAAGCGTACCTGGATGGACAAGGTTTGGGCGGCGATGCCAATAGCGATGCCTGCAGCTTGACATTGCCCGATGAGCCGTACGAAGAGAAGGAGCAACCAGTCGAGCCGGAGTCACTGACGCAGACGGACGGCAACGAGCCTCCGGCAGATCTCGTGGCGGGTCTCAAGCCGCTGGCGAATACGCCAGTTCTGGTGCTGGGTGTTGCGAGTGACATTCTATTCCCTGCGTGGCAACAAAAGGAGATTGCAACTACGCTGAGACGTGCGGGCAACAAGAATGTGAGACATATTGAGCTGGGCGAGGAAAAGAGCTTGTTTGGTCACGACACGTTCTTGCTGGACCTGGGAAACGTTGGTGGTGCTGTTCAAGACTTCTTGGGCTGAGTGTAGTTTCTTCTCTGGTCGATTCTATGATTGTATTCTACTCGCATCGCAGGGCGTTGTCTTGCAGCGGTATCAAAAGTATATGTCGATGTACCGAATTTGAGATGGACTCGTTTGCATGGCTACTCATTCCGTCTCTTTGATGCTATGATTGATGGATCCTGTCTCTTTGTTACTTTGCGCGTGGTACTTCCTGGCTCACTTTCATCCCCCGCCATTCTGCACTCAAGGCCTCTGGGACCCACTTGCATTCCGTCACGCCAATGTGCTCGCGAACATAATCCTCCAGCATCCTGGCTCCAGGTGCGTCTGCATATACAGCCAGGGCACCAACGCGGGGGATATGCAGGCTGGAGGCAAGTCGGCTTTCTGCCGATGTGGGCAGAGGGACTAGGCGGGTTGCTGTCAGTGGGGCATCTGGCATAGTAGAGGGTGATGAGAGGGCGCTTAGATGAACCAAGGTAGGGAGATGGGCATGAGCTGGTGAGAGAGATGGTTTTGGGTGGGTGAGTATAACCATGCTCAGAGGCCGCAAGTCGTCGCCAGGGACATGCTGTTCGGCAGAAGCGACGAGTGTCGTCGAGGGCGCCGTCTTTGCTGCCAGGGCCTCGAGGTGACGGGTGACGCTGTTGAGGCCAATGAGTAGGTGGTTGCCTATGGGTGGTGGAGGCGGTGGGGTCTCGGTGGTGGAGTCATCTTGATCCGGTTTGGTGGTGGCGCGCTTTCGCTTCTTGCCTTTGGATGGGTGCATGTGGGTTCTGCGGTAGTCGCCTAGCGGCGCGATGAGGCTGGTGGTGGTTCGTCAGTGACAGCGCAGGGGGGGGGGGGGAAATTGTGCAGGCTGGCACTCAAGTGGTTTGCCTGCAGCACATTGCGTACCTACTTGGACAGCATTTCTAGGACGACCAGTTCATCGTCGTGCGATAGCTCTGGCCTGCGCCCGCTCAGCAATGCTCGTCAGCCAGTCAGTCGGGGATGCCCAAACCATTGAGTCTCTGTAAAAGGCGACGCCGTTTTGAAGACGGGCTTGGTGTTTTTTTTTGCAACGGGCGCCATGACTGGAGATGGGGGATGATTTTTTTTCCTGGTATTTTCCCGCAGCGTCAAGGAGAGGTGGGCAGTGACCGAGTCGAAAACAAGGGACGATGTCACGGCTTGAAGGGCCCGAAGTGCGTCCGACAGCGACCAGCAATAGGGGTCGTCTGAGTGAAGGGCCCTGGTGGATTTGCGGGCGTGCCTGCATTAGAACAAGAAGGAGGATTTGTCCATGTTGGGCGGGCATGGGCTATCCTGGTCTCCGGCTAGTGGTGGGTTCACGCCAAGTGCGGGAGCCAATGACGATGGTGGGGCTGTTTGGCTGAGCTGCATTGCATCTTCCTGAGGGACCGAATTCGACAAGATACACATATCGCCTTTGCCTCTGCCTGCTGTGAATTCACCCCCACAATTCCACCGCCCATTTCGCCCAAAGGTTGCTGCTGCGGCCCATGACCATAGTCGCGCTGCATTTCCTTTGGCTGCGCGCGAGGACTCGGGCTAGCAAGGCTGGCCAGACTGCTACTGCTGCTGCTGTTGCTGTTGCTGTTGCTGTTGCTGCCTGCATCAGAGGAGCTCCTGCTTGCTCTCTCTGCCTGGCCACGCTTAGTTCCTCTGTCGCCACCAGTCGCACTTATCTTCCTTCACCGTCATGACCGCGCAGGACAATGACCTAGTGCAGTCTGTCGCTGTTGCTGCCGCTGCCGACGAGCCAGCAACAATCGCCCCCGCCTCGCGCCGTGATCCCATTGAAGACGCCGACGCGAGCTTCACCCGCAAACGCCCCCGCCTGCACGGGAGCAACAGTCTATGTGCCATGTCCACAGAGGCCCATACCCTGGACAACCACGTAGAGATGACCATACGCTCCCACCCGCCTTCTTCCCCGGTACGCGCTGGAGACGACCACAACCACAGCCATACAGGTGACGTCGCTGCCAGTCCTTCGCCTGCCCCGGTCCACTCGCCTATACTCATCCCTAGCTCCGATGACGAGGCTGCCAGCCCTCCTATCATGGTTGTCAACGACGAGGACGAAGGCGACAACGATGAGGCAGTCGGCCTTGCCGTACACATGGACCCTGAGGACTACTTCCGCCGCTTTCCTTACTCTCATGTTGGTAGCTACACCAGTGTAGTCCGTGATCTGGCTCAGCATGTGCAAGACAGTGCGTTCTTTGCCAGGTCTACGTTTGGTGAGCCCTTCGTGCTAACAATCACCAGTCGATAATGATATTGATGCCGACTTCTTTCTGGGCCTTTCGCAATGGCTCGTCAACCTCCCCGACCCCTCGGTGGACGACATGCAAGGCTTTTTTGTGAGCAAAGCAGCATTTTGGGACGACTTTGGTCTTTTGGTGCACAAAGTCCTCTCTCGCAGAGTCTCGTTCACACGCCATGACCATGACCATGACCACCGGGTAGGCGACGCGTTTTACAGCTTCTTGAGCGCCTATGTCAGAACTTCTTCTTTTCTCCTACTCGTAGATGCCCTCCTAATCTCCCAGCCGCGGCCCGACGATATATATCCTTTGCCTTTGATCAGCCAGAAGCACCTTCGACATTTGCATACTATTCTTCGATCGGATAAAGCTCCAGCATACCACATGGTCAGCAAAGAGTATTCAGTAGACATTCGCAAGATGGTCTTGCGATTACAGCAGGACTTTATGGCAGCCAATGGGGCTCAGAACCTCCTTCGGCTAGCCAACGATGCAATCCTTCAGGTACCCATAGGCACACAGAATCACATTGCCGTCTTCACCTCGCCTGTGTTGGTCGCACTGGGCTCATCAATTTTCTGCAGTGCTATCCCGAGCAGCGCGCACGACCGGACCGAGTTTAGTCGCTCCACTCTGCTATTTCTGGAAAAGTACATGGACGACTTGTTCAACTTGAACAGAACTGCCGAAGCCAACATTGCACGGGACCTAGTTCAATATTTTTATGCCTTACTATTCGAACTTTGCCTCTGGGATAAAGACATAGAAGCAGATCTAGTTGCTAGATTCTTAGACTTCAGGGACCCCGATTCACCAACTACCTCATCGCCTACCGAGATTAACCCTCACACAGAGCAGCAAGACGAGTATTGCCAAGATCATGGGTCTTTGGCTGCTCTCGTTGCCAATGCGTGGAAATTCAAGATTCTTCGCAAGTATCTCATGAAGGGCAAGATGGACTTGCGCGTGATGAGCATCGGCATGATGGATTCGGGGCTGGTTGAAATTTTCAAGCAATACAGTGATAACGATACGGTACCTAATCATCCAGTCATGAACTACCTATCAGACTTCCTTATCGACGGAAAAGTCGTCGAATACATCATCAGCGTCGATTCCCACCCACAAATTCTTCAACGGAGTGGTAATATCATCGGGTTTCTTGTGGTGAACCATCGCTGGACGGATAGCCAAGCGGACTCCATCTGGAAGACGATTGCAACGAACCCTGACCCACGAGTCGTCTCAGCAACACTGACCATGATGCGAGCCATTCTACACCTAATGAAGGTCACGGACCATTTGTACCTCTGCATAAAACTCTACGAACTCCCCATTAGCCGTTACACCATCAACATGTTACGATTCCTCCATGAGTTGAGCGTAAAAGTTGTAGAGAGGGCAACTGTCGAGGACTATGCCACAAGGGACCGAAGGGCAAAGCCTTGGAACGTTTGCGTTCGCGTCATCTGCGATACAGCGTCCCAGAAAGATACGGACAAAGAGCTACTGGATCTACACAACGAGGCTATAGAACACCTCCGAGGTTTAGCTCCTCATGTTCCCCTCGACGAGCGGCTTGCCATTTATCGTGAGTGTGCAGATCACATTAGCAATCACTCTGAAAGGGCGACTGGCAGTGTGAAGGTCATCTACACACTTGCATCATCACTTCGTACAGGCGATGGCTTCTTCTTTCAACAAAACCAAGACGTAACAAGCAAGATATTGGAGGAGATACCGTGGTTGGTTGAAATGGAAAAGAACGCGGAACCAAGCGCATACCAGCCTTTAGCTCTTCGTTATAGACTGGAGCTTCTTGCACTCATGATATGTCGTGCCGGGTCTGCCATGCCTGCTGAGCTCTTCCCAACTCTCTGGGACCACACTGTCGGCTCGCATGCAATTTCTAATAACGCAAGAGACTGGGCATGGGCACAGCTATTCCAGACGATCAAGCTCATCCCAGATAATGAGTATTGCAAGCAACTCGTCTCTTCCTATCTATCGAAGATGGAAGCATGCTTCTATACCCCCGGAATGTTCGAATTTGTCGCCAACTACAACTTCCCTACCGTTCGAGAGCTTGTGGCCACTGATGATGGAGTCAAGACAGTGTTGCAGATTCCTGGCGCTGACTTGCTGTGGTCCATGGTCCTTTACTCACCCGAAGGCTCTGTTGAAGATCGGGCTGCACGTCTTCTCGCTAGTCGCTATGTCCATATCAACGAAGCCGAGGGTGTCACACTAGCAGATGTAGAGGCTGCTCATGTCGCACTTGTGGAAAAATGTATGCATGAGATACGGGACGCATGCAAGACTGTACGCGAGTCATATTCTGAGAACACAATTCCAACCGTCTCTGATACGATACGACATGAAAAGGAAGGGCGTTGTCGCAGAATCATTCTATTCCAAAAGTTGCTGCTTGAGCGACTACGGCAGAAACCAGAATTCAACCGCGCCAAGAGAGCGGACTCCAAAATCGACGAGATGGATATACCCTACGGGGATGCTATCACAATCCGATTCCAGTGCGCTAATGGCGACCGGCAGGCAGTATCAATGGGCCCAGATCACACTGTGGATGATTTGTACCGCAGGCTGTGTTACGTCTCGGGCTACACCAAGCTCAACCTTTTTGCCAAAGGCCATCGCGTTGATGTAGCTGCCCAAGCAGAAGAAAAGCTCAGTGACGTCGACTTTGGAGGCCAGCTTCTACTTCAGAAAGCACCCGAGGCGAAAATCACTCGCCCATTGTCGGGTTCGGCTGCCGGATCTTCAGTGTTTGAGTCAACTGTAACCAAATACTTTGACGAGTTATTCTCACTGATGGACTCTAATGACACTATCAGCCAATTGGTATGTTTTTACTAGAATCTGGGGTCTCCCTGCTGACTTGTGTAAGCTTTTTGACTACCTTAGCTTCTTCCCGGCTCGCAACAACATACCAGATAGCGTCATGACCGATGCTGCCTCTTCAGAAGGTCTTTTCCCACCAGGGAAGTTTTTCCAGGCGAGATATGCAGCTCTGGCTCTCCAAGCTAAGCTGCGTGAGCAGATTAGGAATGTAAGTGGACACCAATTTTGCAATATGAAACATTAGACTGACAAGCTAGAAGTCGAGCATGGATGAAAAATTCCTGGGCAAGGCTGTACAAAACTTGAACGAAGCACTACTCAATGAAAAACTTATCGGCGCTACCATTTCAAGTCTTCAAGAATTGCAGCTAGCGGCAGTAATCGTAACTGTACTATTGGACTTCCTCAGAGGTAACTGCTCCGCTCACAGCCCCTCTGCTGCAGTCAAAAGCTCACACAAAGTAGAACGACCATCTCCTGATATCTCAGCCGGGTACTTTTCCAATCCAGCTCGGCTAGCGGATCGCCTTGTATCTATCTTATCGATGGCGCTCGAAACCAATGAAGATGCCACTGTGATTCAAGACTGCTATGGGGCTATCATCGAGGCATCGCTACATTCTCGAGCTGTATGGGAAGCTTTTGTCGAACATCCAGAGACATCACGCTTGCACGGAATTCTTCTTCTAGAGGATACCCGACAATTTGTCCGAGAGCATGTCGCGAAGAAAATTGCGTCCGTATGTGGAGGAGATCTTCCCTCCACTTGTCCGCTGGCCAAGGGCGAAGTCGCTGTTCAATTCTGGACCACTATATCCGACATTATTCCACATTCCGTTCGCCACTCTACACAATCCCAACAATTGTATGGCATTGCCGACCATGTCTTCCGTGCCCAGGACGAATATAAGCGTGACGAGAATTTACTACGCGCATGGCTAGCTCAGTGGAGCGATTTGCTACTGGTCTACGAGCATAAAGAGGTCGTGGGTCGTCAAGATACTGACTACGTCGTGTTTGGTCTTACGAAGTTGCTGCTCTGCTGCATATTGTCACTGAAATCCTTCAAACAACCGGTCAACGCTGGGAATGTGATGGAGCAGATATTCAAGAAGTACATCTTCACAAAAAGGTACGTCACATCATCAACGCGCTCCAAGTATGAAGACGTACTGATGAGGAATAGTTTACCGGCTATTAGGGCCAGTAATGTGAATATTCCCATACTACAATCACATTCGAGGCGCGAGATTTACGACTTGATGTTGGCACTAGTCGATGACAGCAGCACATACAACGATCTCCTTCGCCTTGTAGGAGAAGTAGAGCTGGAGGAGTGCGAGACGGCACTAGCGACACTGTCCGTCGATCGTTCCATGGAAGTACGCTCCAGCACGGGTTATGTAGGTCTGTACAACCCCCGCGCAATTTGCTACGCGAATTCGCTCCTCACTCAGCTCTTCATGAATTTGAACTTTCGCAAGTTCATGCTTGGACTAGAGCTTCAAGAGAGCAATGGCTCCCAAAAACTTCTCCTCGAAACACAGAGGCTCTTCACAAACATGCAGCACTCTTTCCGGCGATCGGCTGATCCACGGAGCTTCGCAGCCTGCGTCAAGAACTCAGACCTTATGCCAATTGATATTAGCGTCCAGATGGATGCCGACGAGTTCTACAACTCACTCTTTGATCAATGGGAACGTCAGCTCATAAAGGAAGAGAACAAACAGGAATTCCGCTCCTTCTACGGAGGCCAAACCCTCAATCAAATTAAGTCAAAGGAGTGCGAGCATGTTTCTGAGCGATCGGAACCCTTTTTCGCCGTTCAATGCGATGTGGTCGGCAAGTCCACACTACAGGAGAGTCTTCAGGCCTTTGTTAGCGGAGACGTTATGGAAGGCGACAACAAGTACAAATGCGAGTCATGCGACAGATACGTCGATGCAGTAAAAAGGTAGTTTCAATACCCTGCTGTTGTCAGGAAAAGCTAACAAGTATAGAACTTGCTTCAAGCAGGTGCCGGACAACCTCATTTTCCATCTCAAGCGCTTCGAGTTTGACTTGGCCGATTTTAGCCGGCGAAAGGTTCACGACCACTTTGAATTTCCACCATGCATTGACATCAATGCTTACCATGTTGACTCTCTCAGCGATCCAACAAAGGCGCATGAGGAAGACATTTTTGACCTAGTGGGAGTACTTGTACACACTGGTACCTGTGAGCACGGGCACTACTATTCTTACATTCGTGAGCGGCCCAGTCCGGCTGGAAGCGCGGCTTCCACTTGGGTCGAGTTTGATGACAGTAATGTGGTACCTTTCGATCCGGCAGACATTGCGTACCGGACTTTTGGAGGTATGACCGAAGACACTTATAGCCGCATGCCCAAACAGTATTCGGCGTATATGCTGTTTTATCAACGTCGGACCGCGATTGAGGAAGACCAGCGTAAATGGGTCACCTCAACGAACGAACGAACTCTAAAAGTGCCAGCACCACAAGCTCTTAAAGAGGAAGTTGACGTTAACAACGCACTCATCATCCAAGAGTATTGCCAGTTCGATTCAAACCATACAAAGTTTTTGCGTCAGCTTCATGCCATGTCACGTACAATCAATCATGGTTCTTGCTCCGAAGACCATGGGCATGTGAGTATTTATCAGTAATGGACAAGCAGTCAAACTAACCCCTTGCAGGAGAAGCAATCGTTGCAAATTGTTCTTACACATCTTGCTCACATAGCGTGGCGTCACACTACTTCTGATCTCTTTACGGAAACACTGCTTCAGCTTCGGCGCTCAGTCCTTCCATGCGCGATGTGTTGCAACATCTTTCTCAAGCACTTCGCTATAGATGAGAGCGCGCTATTTAACCTGCTTGTCCGTTGCCCACACGCCAAGGTTCGCTCTCAGATACGCAGCTTCTTGATCGATTGTCTCAAGGTATTCCGTGAGAAAGAACCGAATTTGTACGGTCTCGAAGCAACTGAGAACGACATGGATTCTGATTCTTCAGCTATGGCTACAAAGGACGGGTTGCTTGTAGACATCATCCAAAGACTACGTCAGACTGCAGACGATAGCTATCAAAGCATCCGAGGATGGGACGACTTCTACTTGACCTTGACTCAAATTGTCGAGATTGGTCATGCTGAAATCACTGTGTTTTTGAATCATGGTTTCTTAGATTTCTGCATCAAGCTGCTTTCGATTCATGTGCATAGGCGCCTACAAGACGATTACCCAGAGTTTTGGAGGATTCTGAGCAAGAAAGTAGGCATCTATAACCGGCTCGTTCAATTTTTCTCGACTCTACTTTCACATATGGACACCAGCCTGCCACTGGTTCCTTCAACGCTGATCGAGAACCGTGGAGCTACGTTCGATCGAGAATGCCTCAAGTTCCCACTAACCCATCGAGAGCGACAGATGCTATTCTATTGGGATCCAGAACTCAAGGCGATAGCGGTGCTAGACAGGGCTATGGAAATGTTTGACCTGACCAAAGCGGAATACTTCTATCCTGGGGACATTGTCAAAACGATGATTGGCTGGACGGACCCGCATGCTCAGTCGAATCTTTTCAAAACGATCAATGATGGCATAGGCCTTGATCCGCCTTTTTGCGACGCATACGTACGAGCGGCGCTATCTTTCTGTGAAACGTCTCCAACAGCCGAGAGTGTTACCAGATTGATCACCACGGTGTCGAAAGCAATCGCATCGGCGAATCAACTCGAAGAAGAACGCCTACCGAGTGGGATAGCTGTCTTGGACTTCTTTATCGGTCTTCTGAAGGCTGAAAATGAGGCACTCTTCGAACAACGGCACCCATATGTTTTCTTCTATTGGGTCATGGCCAGGAGTCGTATATGGGCACCTGCCTTGCTTCTTAATCCCTTAGAGAGTGTACGCCAGAGCGCAGAACTACTGGTGAGCGAGCTCTACAAAGATCACGAATGGCCCACGGATATGGTGGCTTTCAAATGGAGATCCCTTCGTGAATTATTGGGCGAAATGATGCAGCGTATCATTTTCGAGAAGGACGCGGGTATGCTGAGGATTCATATGACTCCGCTCATTTCATCCTGCCAGTTTCTCCTTCAACAAATCTTCGAGTTGGTACACAGTGAGGATCCAGATCCAAACTTGGACATGTACAGGGAGGACGCAAACGATAGTGCTCGTATATACGCGTGGCAAACAGATATTGAGCCACGATTACACTCATGGCCGCAAGAAGACAATCGTCTATCAGCAGACCTTTACGACCAGTCGGATTTTGGTAGTGAATCGGACGTGGAGGAGGTAGCTGGCGTCGACTGATGATTTACGATTTCTGAACAGCGTGGTTGCCTGGGCGCGTTAGGATAGATTGATGCTGGGCTGATTCATGGACATGATGTAGATACCACTACCTCGAATCATGACTAGTTATTGTCACGGTAGGAAGATCGCTTATTTGCGCGCCCTATAGAAACCTTTGCTTTTTATCGCTTTCTCCTGCTTACGATGTCTGTCTACACATTCTATGAAGGACAAGGTTTACTTAGCATAGTCTACCTTGCACTGACACTAGACCTACGATGCTAACCTAGCGATGCCTATGGAGACAATGATTATCACTCAACACCAGCTACCTCCTCCATACTAGACTCACCACTAAAGTCTGACTAGTCATAAAAATCTCCTGTTAATCAACTGTCGTCTTACGGCGACAAGAGCAGTTGAGGCTTGGCTAGAGGCCTTGAGGCTGGCTGGAAAACGAACCCCCGTTTTGCCTCAAGAGGAGAAATTATAGGGTAGATCAGTACTAGACAGTGCTTATCTTTTAGTATTTGAGCGCTAACACAACGGAGCTCCGTTGTGTCCCCTCTAGACAGCCGTTATTCCGAACACGACGCCGTTTCCAGCTCGGTTGTCTAGCCGATGCCCATTCGGTATAGCGACTGAAAACCGGAGCTGGAGGCGAACAGGCCCTCAATGTTAGTTTACTATAATCATCGCTCGACACCAGTCGCCTCCTCAACATCCGACTCACTACCAAAGTTCGATTAGTCATAAAGATCTCCAGAGGTTCAGCCAAGATCTGGGGATCAAAAGATAAACTAGAGAGAAAACTAAAAAGTCCACTCTCCGCAGAAGTCGCCAGAGACAAAGAGCGCGCGGCGCAGGCGCGCCTTGTATTGTATACTAATGTTTTCCACGGTAGAGAGAGCGCTTTCTTAAGCACGCATGCTTTACAGAAGCTTTTGTTTTTTATCATTTCGTCTTGCTCGCGATATCTGTGGGGTTTACTTGGCATAGCTTACCTACGATTTCATCATACTAGCCCTAGACCTGTGGTGCAAACCCAGTTGGATGGTTATGAAGACAGGGCGAAGATAAGCATCTTAGCCAAGCTTCGTCAGCGTGGTGTCGCGCGTCCCCACACGCAACAGCTACGTCATCGCAACGGAACTTGCGGACGGACAAGGTTCCCACTATCATTACTACCTAGTTTGCAGCTTCGTCATAACGAGGCTTCGATTTTGCAGTTGTATGTTCTGAGAACCACGCCAGATCACTGATTTTCCTCTAGTTTCAATTCTTCATTCCGACCCGGTTGTCCACTGATTTTCTAGCTTTGTCCTCGTTAGCAACACAAAAGAAGCACGCGACACTATTATACCAGACACAAAGCGAGGTGCCTCCCAACGCTCGGCCGAGGTGATAGTGCCAACTACGTGCCGGATAGAGCCGCACTGGAGAAGAAACTCTGGATATTTAAGAGCCGACTGAAAGAAAAAAGAGAGCCCTTGCAAGCACAGTCGACATCATGGCGAACAAACTAGACGCGATGAAGCCGCAAAGGAAGATTGAACTGTTTTCCGGGTCCTACTTTGCGGCATGTACATTGGGTGGAGTTATCGCGTGCGGTCCTACGCACACCATGGTTACCCCTCTTGATCTGGTGAGTAGTGAAATCGTCCTACCCAAGAACCCATGTGCTGATGCTTCTGCGTCTAGGTGAAATGCCGGCGCCAAGTCGATTCTTCCCTCTACAAATCCAACACTCAAGCCTGGAAAATGATCTACTCCAAAGAAGGTCTCCGCGGCGTCTTCTTCGGTTGGACCCCCACCTTCATTGGCTACTCAATGCAAGGCGCTGGCAAGTATGGTTTCTACGAAGTCTTCAAGTACCTTTACGGTGATAAGCTTGCGCCTGGTGCACCAAAGCAGGTTGTTTACCTTGCTGCTTCAGCTTCAGCGGAGTTTCTTGCTGATATTGCGCTCTGCCCTATGGAGGCCATCAAGGTCCGCATGCAGACTACCATGCCGCCATTTGCGCACACATTGAGGGAAGGGTGGGCAAAGGTCATCAAGGAGGAGGGTGTTGGTGGCCTGTACAAGGGACTGTACCCACTGTGGGCGCGCCAGATCCCGTACACCATGGTCAAGTTTGCGACGTTCGAGGAGACAGTCACCCAGATCTATCGCTTCTTGGGCAAGCCGAAGGAATCGTACGGTGGTCTGCAACAGACTGGTGTTTCGTTCTTGGGAGGTTACATTGCGGGTATTGGGTGTGCCGTTGTATCGCATCCCGCAGGTATGTTGTTTATGATTTTATACTTTGCAAGAAAGAGATCGCTAACGTATATCAGATGTCATGGTCTCGAAACTCAACAACGATCGCAAGCCTGGTGAGGGAGCGGGCCAGGCTATCGGCCGGATATACAGCAAAATCGGCTTTACTGGTCTGTGGAACGGGCTTCCTGTCCGCATCTTCATGATTGGTACTCTGACTGCCTTCCAATGGCTCATCTACGACTCTTTCAAAGTCTATCTCGGTGTGAGTTTTTGGGTGACCCGTCAATATGAATATGCATAACTTTGCTAACAATGCGGTACAGCTGCCTACGACCGGAGGACATTAAATGTTCTTTCTTCTTTGGAATGTTGGCAATGCGATAGGGATTCTAGTGTATGACGTACGTTAATGAAGAGTAAATGGTTATCGCGTATACACTTACTCACCTAGCTTTAATGTATCTATCTATTTTATTCCAAAAAGAAATGCAACTCAACCGTCAAACAGCAGCTCGCCATTCCCCTTGCCTCAGCAAACGATATCGCTATCGAAACACTGACTGATATGCATAAATACGACATATCTCCGCAGTCCGCCCGTTGGATCAACATGACTTCTTTCCCTTTCCCTCCTCTGTTCCCGCTTCGTACACATAAGCTCGTCTAACCACTCTATCGAAAAAGAAAAAAAACTCCGATCTTTTCCCTTTTTTTTGCCCTCACGCTTCTTCGAACCGCGTTTGAGAGCCGCGCTGCCAAAAAAGCGCAAAAAGGACCGAATCAAAGGGGAAAACGGGGAAGAGGGGGGGTGCCTTGTTTAGGACTTACGCTGCTTTGTGCTCAATCGGCGACTCGGGGCCTCTGACGTGCTATTTCTATTGATATGTCGTATCGGCATTGAGACACCCGTGTTTGAGGTGATGAGGGGTAGGGGGGCAGGGGGGGCGTGGCGACGGTGCTTACGAAGGGGGACACGGGAATGATTATCGGGTTTTTGGGCTGGATGATCGCGTCATGTGTAAGCTGGTGATCGCAAACAGGTGAATTTGTAAATGCTATCCATGGGATTGCCTTTTTGTGTGTGTGTGTGTGTGTGTGTGTGTGTGTGTCACAAGGGAAAAGTTAGATTGGAGAAATAGCATGTTTTTAATAAGAAAAAGAGGTATCAATTGTTTCCATGGAAAAAAGATTACTTGACTACATTCCTCCCCTGCTCTTGCGTTCCCATCTTCATCCCAACTCAGCCCCAGACCAACTCTGACTCTCTCTCGCGCGCGCACGCCACGCTTCTTCGCACTTTTTTTTGATCATGTGTATAGTGGAGGGGTAATTGATTTACAGGTTGTAAAAGCAAAACCCACTCAATTAGAGATATGCTTTCTTAAAAAAAGGTAAGAAAAGCGTTTAGATGTCCTTGACGACGGGGACGTCCTTGACAAGGGGAACATCGACATCACCGACGATGTTCTTGACCTCGTCAACAAGAGGGGCACGAACGTCGAGGATCTCGGTGGCGTCAGTGACGGGCTTGGCGACCTTGTAGATGGACTCGGTGACGGGGTTGAGGTCGCCGGTGACGGAGTTGAGGGTGCCGGTTACGCCGCTGACAACGGGGGTTTCGTCAAGGATGCTAGAGACGGCACCGCCAACGGGCAGGTCCTGGACGACGGGGACGCCGCGCTTGAGGTTGAGGTCAAGGTCGAGGAGCTTGCCAGTGTCGAGGACCTGGCCGTTGGTGGCATCGGCGGTGAGTTGGTTGGAGTTGAGGCCGGTAAGGCCGTCGACGGACTCGGTGGTGGTGTCGAGGTTAAGGAGCTGACGCTTGTCGTGGATATCGGTGTTGACGCCCTTGACGGCACCGCTCAGGTTGACGCTGTCAGTGACGCGGTCAACAGTCTCGGTGAGCTTGGCGACAGGGGCGACGTTGAGCTGACGCTTGCTGTTGACGTTGGTGTTAAGGCCATTGACGGCACCGTTCAGATTGACGCTGTTGGTGACACCGTCAACAGTCTTGGTAAGACCAGCGACAGGGGCGATGTTGAGCTGACGCCTGGCGTTTCCAACGACCCTGATCTTGGTGGCATCGCCAACGATGTCGGTAACGGGCTTGGTGAGGTCGGTAACGGGCCTGGTAAGGCCGTTGACAACCTCGAGCTGGCGCTTCTCGTTCAAGATGCCAGTGACGCCTTTGAGGCCGGCATCGTCGGAGACAACACCGGTGACGGGGTCAACAGTCTTGCCGACGGTGCTGGTAAGGGATCCAACAGTGCCAGTGGCGGTACCGACCAGGTTGTTGAGACCAAGCTGAGGAGTAGGGGCCGAGAAGACGGATGCGGAGAACGCAAAGATGGAAACGGCGACGTAGGAACGCATGTTGATGGTGGGTCGGATGTATTAAAGAATTAAGTGGTATATAATAGTAAAACGAATGAGTGACAGTGATGGGAAGAGAGAGCGACTGTGATGCGTTGGATGATGGTCTTGGTTACACAGGCTGGGGTGTGTGATTTATATGCGCTGACGGTTTCCTCGAAGACGTGTGTTCCGATTCAGAGGCTCGTCGATCCTCCTCTCACCGTGCCCGTGAGTGCGTTGCTGTCCCTGTCCAGCGTAGTAGATCAGAGCCTAGTTTGATTTGACTTGGTGATGGTGGACAAGACTGGCAGCACGCTGTTGCATGTCTAGTCTAGGCAGAAAGCTGCGACGATCTTCATTACCAGACCCCTGTCTTTATGACGGCCCAATCAAAAACAGCGGTGCAGGACGCTGGGGAGGTTAGTTGGGCTTAGTGGGTGAGGGAGCCACACGGGCTGTGGGGTACAGAAGCCATGAGTCGTGCATAGAGCAAGCAAGACTTCCTTGTCCAGCACGACTACATAGCGGGACCTTGCGGTCAGTTTCGGCCGTCAAGCTTTCCAAGGCACTTGGTTTAGAGTTTCAGAAAGTTTAGTTGCCGCTACATGTTGTCAGACTGGTGGGCGATTGCACTCAAGTGGTAGTCGAACATGGGAAGATTGAAGAATGAAGTTAGCGTAGTATGACGTCGGCCAAATTGTGTTTCAACTGTGCGAGGAGCGAAGAGCCGTGCAGGGGTTAAGGCGTAGGGGTATAACGTGCCCATGCAGGGACAGAACAGGAGCGTGTTGTTTTTCCTGTTGCTTGTCCAAGCGGGCGAACGACGGTCCCCCCTGAAGATCTAGGGTGGCATATGGAAAAGTAGTACTACGGTGCCCGCGCTAAGTGTCGATCATCCGCTTCCGGCAGCGTGCCTCAATCTAAGCACATCGGCAGCGCCTGTCTAGTAGCCTCTCTTTGCGCCAGCCAAGTCATACTACCAGTTTCCCTGGCGGGCCCTATCTGATCGCCGTTTTCCAGCAGAGCCGCGAGTCGCTAGCGTGTTGGTCGCCAATCTACCGTCCAACTGTCGTTGGCTGCAACCTGGAGAGAGATGTACGGAAAGGGGATGGGGAAAAGGGAGAGAGACCTGGTCAACGCAGTGAGATTTGGCCGAATACTTACTAGCCACGTGGGGAATGCGATCAACAGCGACCTTCACCAAAACGCACTCCCCCACTGTTTCCGCCATTGTCATGAGCACCACGCTGAGACATGCTGAGGAAGTTGCCGACGGGAGACTCTCTTCCGCACAGAATATTGCTGGTGAGACAAGCCACTACACAACTCTGTACTATCGAATCCTCGTTCTCGGTGTTGGCCTCATCTTGGCCCTGTCACGTGAAGAGGCCATTCATTGCTTCAACTCGTCGCTATAGTCCTGGTCAAACAACAGCTCATGTTGCTCAGCCCACGAGAACTACCACCACGCTACCTTGCAACTGAGACCGCTACCAAGGCACTACCTGGGAATTGAGTTTTGGTGACCATCGTGACAGCATGGTGCGACCCAACGTGGCGCAAGATAGCGGAAAGTTTGGCGAAGCGGGACGCGCTGATAGCGAGAACCGGCGTCCTACGTAGCATTCTTGCATTCTTCTCCCAGGGCGCTTGTTCAAGCACGAAGATGGATTCATCACTGCCTGTTCGGGCTGCGCTGCGCAAATGAGAGTGTGCCCACCCGCTCCTCGTTGCGCGGCCCCTGCAAAATCACCTTCTCCACTTCCACGCGCATGAATTCTGGGGCTGCATCCCCTTTTTGCTTCACCTCTTCACTCAATCCAGACAACCCTATTCAGCCCTGCTTTCGTATCCCTATATATGATGCAAAAGGTAGGGGGAAAATCACTTTGCTTATTATAAATACAAGCAAATCTAGATCCATACTCCTTAGTTGCAAAAACAGCCTGAGCAAAATCCATTATCAACTTTTCCAAGCCCACTAGGGCGAGATCTACATAATTACAAAGTGGAAACAGAAATGGCGTAATATCGTTACATTCATTCCGAGTCAGTCACGCAGCCCTGACTGGCATCCTTTACAAAACGCGCGTACTTGAAGAGCGTACCCTTCTGGTACTTGAGCGCAGGCGCGGTCCACTTCTTCCTCCTCTCCGCCAGCTCCTCTTCGCTGACTGAAATATTCAGCTCATTCGATTCAGAATCAATCGTGATTTCGTCACCATCCTGCACAAGGCCAATAGGACCTCCCTCTTGCGCCTCGGGCACAATATGGCCAATCAAGAAGCCGTGACTGCCACCGCTGAAGCGACCATCTGTGATGAGTGCAACATCCTTTCCAAGCCCAGCACCCATGATGGCAGAGCTGGGTTTCAACATCTCTGGCATACCAGGGCCGCCCTTGGGTCCTTCATAGCGGATCACAACAACAGTCTTCTCGCCCTTTTTGATTTCTCCGCGCTCAAGAGCGGTGATGAAGTCGTCTTCGGCATCGTAGCATTTTGCCTTTCCAGTGAACTGGGTGCCCTCCTTACCAGTGATTTTGCCTACACAACCACCAGGAGCAAGGGTACCCCTCAGAATCTGCAGGTGACCAGTCGACTTCAAGGGCTCGCTAAGTGGCCTGATGATCTTCTGCTCAGCAGGGAAGTCCTTGACAGTCTCAAGGTTCTCCTTCAACTTCTTGCCAGTGACCGTCATCTGGTTACCGTCAAGAAGGCCCTCCTTCAACAGAAACTTGAGAAGTGCTGGCGTGCCACCAATATCGTGAATGTCGGCCATGACGTACTTGCCAGAAGGCTTCAAATCGGCCAACAATGGAATGCGGTCGCTGACGCTCTGGAAGTCGTCAATGGTGAGCTTGAGGCCAACCGAATCGGCAATGGCGATCAAGTGAAGAACAGCGTTGGTTGAGCCACCAGTGATGCTGATGACAACCATGGCGTTCTCCAGCGCCTGGCGGGTGATGATGTCGCTCGGTCGGATGTCTTCCTTAAGAAGATTCTTAATGGCGCCACCTGCCGCTAGACACTCGAGCATCTTAGCCTTGGAGTTGGCGGGGTTGGACGAGGAGCCGGGCAGCGACATGCCCATGGTCTCAATTGCAGTAGCCATTGTGTTTGCCGTGTACATGCCTCCGCACGCACCCTGCCCATTGCACGCATGCCTGATAATGTCAAAGCGCTGGTCCTCGGTGATCTCGCCGGTGATGAATTGACCGTACGCCTGGAAAGCGGAGACGATATCAATTTGTTGGTTTTCGAGTGTCTTTGCGCAACCGGGCTGGATCGTTCCGCCATAGACCATGAGCGAAGGCCTGTTGACACGACCCATGGCCATGATGACACCCGGCATGTTCTTGTCGCAGCCGGGAATGGAGATGTTTGCATCGTACCACTGACCGCCCATGACTGTCTCGATAGAGTCTGCAATAATCTCACGCGACTGCAGCGAGTAGCGCATGCCTTTTGTGCCCATGGAAATGCCATCACTGACTCCAATGGTGTTGAACTGCATGCCCAACAGCCCCGCACGCTCTACGCCCTCCTTGACCTTGTTGTTCAGGTCCATCAGGTGCATGTTGCAAGGATTGCCCGAGTACCACACAGATGAGATACCGACCTGGGCCTTGTTCATGTCCTCCTCGCTCATGCCCGTGGCGTACAGCATGGCCTGCGAGGCGCCCTGCGACTTGGGCTGGGTAATGTGCTTGCTGACTGAATTGAGCTCATTGTCGGCTTTGGCGGTGCGGAGTGCGGAGCTGGAGAGGGCACGTCTGGGAGGCGTCAGTATCAGTGTAGCAATGTCAATTGCAGTGGAAAACATACGCTGCGTGCCACTGCGGCCGCGGTGAGCACCTCGCGCGCGCGAGAAGACCTCCAAAGCGTGCGAGAGACATTGTGGCTGGCGGTTCACTTCCCCAGAGTGTCGCGGCATCAATTTATCGATGCGAGCTCGGAGGACGCGGAGTCGGACGCCTCTCCGTGCGGGCGGGCAGCCAATGAGGGGCAACGTGATGATGCACCGCGCTTTGATCGTCGGTCATCCATCATCATCGTCGAGAGCTACTATTTCATCATTCAGCTGCATTGTCTTGTACAATCATATTTGCCCACGAATTCGAACCAACGCGTGTCACGTTCTATCTCCTGCGAATGATACATCGTCACAGGACAGCCGTTTCAATTATGACTATTCATCGCCAGTTTACAACTCGTGACAGTGGCTCTGTCAATGATGCAGCAATTCACTCTGATCAAATCGACTGTACATTGCTTATATTCCTATGATTCTACTGTATATCATTGATACACACCATCTCCTTTCTCTATTAATTTGTGGCAAACAACTAGCCAGATGAAACACCTTTTGATCAACCACTTCATTCTTCTACATAGTTTTGCGCAGGCTGCAAGCAACATATATACGGGCTTCAACTACGGTGCATTTTGGAGCGTAGAGGCCAATGTGAAAAAGAAAGCCGATTTTCTCGACGGCTTCAACTTGGCCAAAAATCTGACAACCGACATACCATTCGACAGTGCGCGGCTGTTCACGTGCAAAACTGCTGGAACTGTAGACGAACCAACGGAAGCATTTGACGCCGCCGTGGAATCAAATACCAACCTCTTGTTGGGCTTCTGGATAACACCAGCACGAAGCGGGGACTCGCCTGACGAAAACATCAAGAATGAAATGGCTGCGCTGGAGAAGGGGTTCAAGAAGCATGGCCAAGCACTTTCAGACCTCATCATTGGACTCTCCGCAGGAAGCGAGGACATCTATCGCGCCGAGGAAGCTGGTGAGCTAGGCCTCACAGCAGAGGTTGTTGGGCAGACCATTGTCAAAGTCAAGGAGAGCATTGCTGCGTCCTCGTTTGCCCAATATATGAAAGACAAGCCCATCGGACATGTTGATACTGCCAAACATTGTGTCGTAGATAGTGCTGACTTTATCGGCATGACTGCTTACCCATACTGGAATAAAGATAGCATTGACACAGCAAGTGACAGCTTCCAATATTCCCTGGGAGAAGTCAAGCAGCGGGCAGGCAACAAGCCAGTCTAGATCGCAGAAATGGGCTGGCCATCAACCGATACGGAGCAACATGGTGCAGCAGTTGCAGGGATTGACGAACTACAAAAGTTCTGGACCGAAGTTGGGTGCGTCGTATTTGGCAAGTACACAACCTTTTGGTATGAGCTACTGAAAGACTCTACGCCTGACCAGAAAGCCGACTGGGGTTTGATCGATACGCTTTCGCGCAAGCCTCGCATCAAGGATCTCAGCTGCGGAGTCCCAAAGCAAGGTCGACCAGTTGCCCCTTCAGTGAGCTCGCAAATTACACTGCAGTCTTCTTTGTTAGCATCAAACGGATTAAGTGGCTTTCAGGCGCCCGTTCCCTCAACCACGCTATCATCGTCTGAGATACAGCCAAGTTTTGGGATATGGGAAGCTACTCTATCGAAGGTCGGGCCGAGCACGAGGTACCTGACGGCCTTCAAGACTACAACGATAACCTCGCAGCCCATACCTCCCACACCAAAGATTTGGAGCAACGCGTCACTCTCAGATATTGCCGCAACACAAACTATTACACAGTTCATAACCATTGTGTCTCTTTTCAGAAGCAAGACAACTTCAGACCGGTCCCTTTCATATTTCACAACTGTTAGCATGCCAGGTACGTCGTGATTCAAATCATGAAACGCATCTTGCCACTAACGAACCTTAAGTATTGCCAAGCCGATCCACTGCCAGTCCTAGTAGCCACGCTACTCCTAGCGCCATGAAGACGACTACGAACCGTGCTAACCCTACGACAACGCCTCATTTGACCACTTCGCTCGTCAAGGAAAACTGGTGTGTCACAGTCGCCGATGTTGATCGGAATGGCCATCCGGTCATTGTCGCAGGTGGGCCTGCCGCACCAAATGGAGAGTGTAGTTCACCACCTACCTTCTATGGATTTCCTTATGTGACAAGGAGTGAAGCGGTCGTCACAGAGAAACCATCCGACGTACCTGTTGGGAGGGCATGGTGCGTTACCATGGCTGATGTTGATAGAAATGGGCAAATGCTTCCGGTTGATGCAGGTCCGGCAATGTTGGATGATAAGTGTGATGCTCCTTCAATGTATCAGTGGAAAGGAGGTATGGCTTCATGATGAACGAGTCAGATTTGACTTGAGATTATATAACAAATTTCATATCTCAATATATGAGCCTTACATACGCTACAAATCAACAAAACGATGGATGAAAATGAGAAGTAGCATATTAGCATGGTGGATGCATATAGCGCAGTGACCGAGACAGTAAACACAAGTAGAGTAGAATTGATATTGCATACCAGCAAAACATAAATCATTAATCATACATCTATCCATCTCCCTCTCCAACTTACACCGCCTTCCAAACCTCCGCATACCGATCATTCCCCGAGTCGCGATTTCTCTCATACTCACTCCGATCCGCAATCGTCTGCGCCGCATCCTCGCCAAAAACCTCCGCAATCCACGCATACGCCAGATCCGTGCCAGCCGAGATACCAGAACTAGTCCAGATATTGCCGTCAACCACCCATCTCGCTTTAGCCACCCAATCCACATTGGGATGCAGAGCCTTGACCTATTATCCTCCACATCAACCGTCTACTCGGGCGATCCACAAACGAAAACGCAAAGAAAGCGAAAAGGGAAGTGGAATGAAGGGAAAGGGGGGGGGGGAGATAACGCACATTATTAAACGCCCGTTTATTCGACGTAGCCCGGCGTCCATCCAGCGCCCCCGTCCTCGCTAGAATCTCACTTCCCGTACAAACCGTAAGCACCCACTTCAGTCTCCCCTGCCCGCTCAAATCCAGCTTCTTGAGATACTCAACGAGAGGGCCCATGTGCTCGTCGCTGCCCTCGCCCCGCGATCCCATGCCACCGGGGATAAGCAGGACATCGAGGTCGTCGGGCGCGGAATCAAACGTGTGGGTTGGCACGAGTGACTGGGATATTTGCGAGCCTTGCTGCGCGTGCAGCGTGTTGTGCGTCGAGACTGGATCGAGGGTTGCAGCGAGGGTGCTGAGGGAGATTTTGTGCGTGTAGCCTAGGATGTTGAAGGCGTCGAGGGGGCCTGCGACGTCGAGGAGTTGGAAGCCGGGGAACAGGATGAGGCCGAATTTGGAGGGGAGAGAGGTGCTGGACATTTTTTGGGGGGGCTGGGGAATTCGGGGTCAATGGGAGGATGGTTGCTTTCCTTCTCTTTTCCTCTTTTCTTTTGGTTAAAGAATTGAAAAAGGTCGAGGTATGGAGATTGGGAGGGAAAAATATCAATGTTGATACTTCATGATATCATGCATGTGACTCAGTGCTTTTTGTAGATACTACTATTAGTCAGCGATGAGGCTTGGTACCCCGTGGGGGAGCGCATTAGAGTTAGTTTCCGCCCGCGGATTTATTCTAATGGCCCAAATCGAGTAAAAGAAGTCAATTGAGACATTGTTGACCATGGACACAGCATGCGAACCGTTTACTCGACTAGGACATAAAGGCGTCATATTATGAAAAGACTGGATGGACAACATTCTTAAAACTGCTACCAACTACACGACACCATTCATATGCACACCTTGCTCTTCCTGCTGATGTACCGTCAGCATCCGCCTGGCCTTATCGATCCTCTCCTTGGTAAGAATGTAGCTCTTCGGAATATCGCCCTGTTGTATCATCTGCGCCTGCACTGTGCCAACGTCTTGTCCCCCAATCTCTGCGAGGACCATGTCCACGATTGCCTTTCCACATAGTGTACCGTTTGGCATGCCATGACCGGTGTATCCACCACAGAGCCACAAGCCATCTCTGTCTGGTACCTTCCCAACCCATGGGTGGTTGTCACGGGAGTAGCCCATAATACCAGTCCATTGAGCAGCAGCCTTCAGTTCTTTGAGACCTTCGGTCTTGCCGTCAAGTTCGAGTACCTTGAGCAAAGCGCCTCGGAGATAGGCGGCAGATCCCTCATCGATAGTGCTGTCGTCAGAGATACCTAGACTTGGGTAGTTTCCAGCTCCGCGGCCGCCACCAAACATGAGGTGGCCAGCAGGGTTTGGCACACCCTCAAATGGTCTCTGAATAAGGTAATCGTCGTTGTGAGCAGGCTGACCGAGCGCAGCAACCATGCCATACGAGTTTGGAAGGAGTGTCGAGCCCTCTGGCGGGAAGAGGGCGGACATTTCACCGCGACATGGGACGATGAGATCCGCAAAATGGGGCAGAAGAGCTGAGGTGTAGCCATTCGTTGCCAGAATGACTGTTTTGCTGCTGATGGTACCGCGAGGTGTGTGTAGTGTATGTTTCCCCTCGGAAGTTGTAATGTTCGTAACGGGAGTCTTGGTCTGGAGATTTACTCGGCCGTCTTGCACGAGCTTTTGTAGAATGAATGTGACCAGCTTGTAAGGCCACAGACTCGCTGCTCCCTCACTCAACGTCGCCGCCAGGCAGTCAGGCGCTACGCGATGCTTCTTGAGTTCCTCCTTGTCTTTTATCACTGTTACCTTTGCCGCTATCTCAGGGGCAACGTTGCGAAGATGTCGGAGTTCATTCTCAACCTCCTTTAGCGCTGCCTGGTTCCAAAAAGTTCGACAGCCTGACACGTCCCGCCATTCACATGGCACATTGTTATCTTGTACGTAGGATCGTACTGCAGCGACATTCTTCAGTTCGAATTTGGCCACATCGCTAGATCTGTCGAACAAGAGGGGTTGGCAGTGTCCACCGTTCTAACTATTTGTCAGCATAGATCCTACAATCCCGCGGCGGATAACCCCAGGCCAGGCGTGCTCCGAATGCCGTGCACATGTGTATGCAACCACCCTAACGACTTACCCTGCCAGTAGCACCCCAGCATGCCTCTCTCGCCTCGAGCATTACGATGTTCTTGCCATTGGCCCTTTCATCCTCAGCCAGGTATCTGGCCGCACTTGCACCCGTAATACCAGACCCCACAATGACAATGTCAGCCTCGGCGGGCAGGTTTTCTGTTGTGCGATGGCCGATAAGATACTCGTTTGGCTCGCTGTGCCAGAACGAGTTGGATGACGCGGGCGTCGGAAGGGTGGCGCGTTCCTGTCTCATGATGCGAACGTAGATGGACCGATGTAGATAAGGTTGGAGAATTGTGGACTCGATGTGGATTGAATTGAGTTCTTATATGCGTTTTTTTTCTTTCCTGCCTTCGCAGAAGACAATCTCATGTGGTGACGAGTCTTATCCCGAGGGTTCGGAATATGTTTGTTGTACCGACGCCTTTGGACTTCGTGGCGTGGCGGAGGGGTAGTGGATCGTTGGTCGGAATACCAACTTAGGCTATCTACGTGATCATCCTGTTGCTCCGATCGTAGGGCGCGCCGGGCGCTGATCGCTACAAGCCGCGTCAAGAGTCAGAATCGTCATTGTATATTGCTGGGAGTGCCGAACCAGCACAAGACAGTAAGATATGAAGGTGCTCAAGAAGATGGGTAATGTACAGAGGGGCAATTCAATCATGGTGCTTGAGTCATGACAGCAGACAGCTGGAGCACATGCGAGTCAGTAGGGCTGATTATGTAAACTGAGAGTGAGTCCACAATCAAAAGCCTGTGCTCCAATCCTATGAGCGACACGAAAGTTGGGTCGACGTTAGCATCGATAACTACAATTGAGCACTTTTTAAGATAACACCGTTCATTTCAAGCCTCTCCGTCAGCCAAATTCTTATATTCGATACTATGAGATGATTTATTACATCAAGCATGGCGGATCGTAAGGGCCGCAACAAACTGATTTAGCCTCGTATTAGGAGGAAGTTAACCAAATTACTAGTCTTGGTCCTTTCGAGTGTCCGTATCCGACGAAAAGTGAAATCTAAAACACCTATGAAGATACCTAGTACCAGGATGCGCATATGAAATCACTATCGAGTATGACCTACGTCGCGATTGGCGCTGGGATCCAGGGTCCTAATAGCTTGGAGCCGCTATAAGTTACTGCTATAATGGCGAGTAGGACGGTGGTCGAGCTGGAGTCTCAACTAAGTATAGCTCTATACATATATCATACCCCTGATTAAGGACGCTCCGATTGATGACAAGCTTGTAAACTAGACTTACTGACACTAATCCAGAACGAAAGGAAAAAAAATATTACCGATTTGAGCTTGGCAAGCAGTATCCACCATGTGCGACAGAAGGTGATGGGAATGAAAACGTTGAGAATAAGCGTATGGATTGAAGCAGTATGTTCAAATTTGAGGAACAGACATATCCGAAGTTTGTAGCATGCGCTAGTCTAATAAGCACTAATTGTTACTTCGCCCCCTGATGCATATATGAATTACTGCATCGTAGACAAGCAAAAACGAGAGGGCACGTTCCTTCGTTCCCTACCACGATTGCAAGCAGTGAGCGCCCTGATTTCCAAGGCTCAAGCAGCAACCCTGGAATCGAGCCTTGCGAAGTTGGAAATTTCCTGGCTTTGGGAACTCGCAGTTGGTATTTTAGGCATCATACTGCGCGGGTTCGCGGGCATGGCTGCAGCAAGTGCTGGTGGATATTTCTGAGCCATCGATTCTTTGAACGCAGTAGCAGTAGTCCATTTCCTAGACGTCGGAGATTCGTTAGCTGAGAAGAGTCTTATAGATTTCTTTTGAGCAGATGAGGGAACTTAGGCCGAATTTCGATTAACATGGCTATCTTACACTACTACTCTGCTTTATGACACTATAAGAAAAAGAAAGAAAGATAGGAAACTAATACGAAGGGAGCTAATATGAACGCGGTAATACATTGCCCGAGCCAGCTCAAACACGAATAATATTTTTCCCGTTGTCGTAGCGTCGTATATCAGACCAGTTTCTATGCTTGGTGTCTACTTGCGTCGTTGGAGAAAGTCCTTGGCTGAGGCAGTAACGGAATATCCGTTGAAGAGCCAATCGTTTGAGTGTCGACCTCTCCACGGGTCGCTGCCACTAGTAGTTCTCCTGCCTGCATCCTGGAGAGTTGGTCTGGTACTCTGTCCTGGTGTAGCTACTGGGCCTGGAGAAGTAGTGGAGCTGGTGGTAGATGCATGTCGTGAGTGTGTTGGCATGGCCGTGGGCGGCGACCTTGGTCGCTTGTCTGGTGGGGCGCCGCGAGAGCGACTTCGTGAGCGGCCGCGGATTCGCGCTGCGATGGCACCAAAGAAGGATTCTTCGGTTGGAGATGCTGCCATGCGAGATGTTGGTGATGTTGGGGAGTATGGTGGAGAGATTTGGCCCGATGATGATGATTGTGACTTTTGCGAATCGACTGTGTTTGTGCGGATGGGAAGGGGCATGTTTTGAGTGTGTGAGGCCATGCTGGGTACCGCAGTGTTGGAAAACTTAGTAGTAGAGGGATAGTTACAAGTAGTGATGTTTATATTGAAGTTGATGGACCAGCCAAATGTTGGCGCGGATAAATAAGATGACTGCAGAAGGTGAGGATGAGGCTCAACATCAGGCCGTCGGCTGGATTTATAACCCGCCCTATGGTCTGCTTCTCAGTCCCTCTCCTGTGTGTCCTCATTGCCGCTTGACTTGGCGCATATCGCAGCTCTGTCGAGGTGACGGTGACGCTCTGCATCCTCAAGCCATTTGGCCCAATCAGAGGGCGTAGATGGGGTGCGGGGCGGTAGAATCGCCATGTTCCTTTGGAAAGCTCACCGACTCCCCACTTGTGAGCATCGGTCTAGAGGCCCACAGTCGCACTGCAAAGCCAACACATCTAGACAAAGTGCCAGGGCGTCATGGGGGTGCCACTGCGACATAAGGCTTAGCGGCATGTCAATCACTGCACATGGGGTGCGACGGAACCACGATTTAGGGTCACCGGTTTTCAGGGATGCGCCCAGACTGTCCCACCACCATGGCTCCAAGTGTCCTTGGTGGTTATTGAAGTTCACCTGCGCGGCTTGCTGCGTATGGACACTCGGGTAGAGCGAGCTTGTCCAACGACGTGTTACCAGTTGTTGCCGTCGTCTGTCACAAGCACACAAAGTCCTGGAGGAATCTGCCGTGCCGTGTCCTCGAGGACTACTTACCTACTATCAGCGGGTGCGCCTCAATATGCAAGTCGAGGGGATCAGGCGTGCCGGTACCAAAACATGCTCTCGAGTTCCAAGCAATTTCCATCGGACCCGGCCACATACTCAGCTCTGGCCCTCAATCTTGGTTCTTATAAAACGCCTACAATGTCTGGTTCGACCATGGCCATGGCGCGATACCCCCGCATTTGCGACTCATCTGCATCCACGACAGCGGCCAGACCGACGTCTGGTGGTTTCGCAGCAGAGACATGGCGCCGCAACAAGTGCCAAGATCTGCACAATCAAGGCAGCACACACACGAAACCACCATGCAACTTTATCTCGCAATATCCAATGTCATGTGCATGGCGTCTGTGAATACCAAGGCAGCCATGGTTTCCCCGGCCCTAGCTTCCACGCAACCACAAAAACTTGGTCATATTGCATCTGCTCGAGTAATGCACATTCTGGAGAATAAACTTTTGTGGCAAAAAAAAGAACGTAGGCGCAAAGAATACTCGGGGATCCAGAAAGCAGAAGGGTTGCGGTGGCTTTGCTGTCCTCACTTCGCTCCCGGCCCAATTGCTTGGAAGGCAATTATCCTACCGTTGGACCAAGAAATGCTGGATGGAAAAGAGCAAAATGTCATGATACATATAGTACACTGACATTGTTGTCATGATATCGCAATGTGAGGACTCCATAGCCTTGGCACACAGGCTTCACTCCGTCCTACTAGCATCGACAAATCAGGCTAGCACAAGCTCCATCTTCCCCAACTCAATGTCGATACACTATTTTTTTGAAAATCTTCTTAACCTTTGTTTCATTTTATTCTAAATCACCTAGAGGATGTGGGTATAAACTACAATCAAGAATTGAGTCAAGTTGACATAGTGATGCAAACCACTGAAATAAGTGCAATATTCGTACTTGTGTCCTGATGACAGGATCAGACCAAGCAACTAGCTCCTTCAAAGATACTGAGCTTTTCAACGCCCATGCAATGCATTAAATGATGCAACTTCGTATTTTCCATAGACCGACAAAATTTCCACAAATAGCTCACCATCCATACCGATTACCCGCCTCCCTCTTATTCCGGGCACTCGCAGCAAAATGGTCCTCGAGCGCATCTTTCTGCGTAGTCGCAACATTGACCAAGCTGCGAAGACTGTTCTTTCCAGTACCAGAAATGGACTTAAGCGGGTTGTGCGATACTGCCTCGCCCTGCTGTCGCAGCCGTTCATTGTGTGCGTACTCCTCGTCGGTATTGAATTCGACTATCTTTGCGCCTGAGAAGTCCGGTCCACCGCGACCCTTTTTGCCGAATAGTTGGCGCCGTTCGGCTTCCGAGAGATTGAGCTCCGAGGCAATGTTTGTGAGGCCATTACCAGCTGGGGCGTTTGCGGACGGTGCTGCATACTGAGTGGTGTAATTTGTCGAATGTCCGTCAAAGGCCGCATCGGGCACAGGCGCATCCTCGTCTTGTTCCGCCCCGTACAGCAGTGGTTGGTATTCTCCATCCGATGACGCCTTGCTTGCAGGCTCTGCACCACCTGATACGCCGAAAAGGGAGACTTTTGGCTTTTGCGGTTTTGTTTCTACAACAGGTGGTTGTGGTGTCAACACTGTTGGGCCTGTTGGGCCGGCTGCCTCAGTTGACGCAAGCGCTGGGCGAGGCACTACTGGTTTCTTCTTCTTTCCTTTGCCCACAGACATGGGCACGAAACGCGGCGCCGCAGGTTTCGGTGCTTGCTGCGGCTCCGACTCCACCTTTGTGTCTTGTGCTGGCAACGCCGGTTTGGTATCCGGCTTTGCTTGTGACTTTGGAGGCGGCAGATTCAGCATGGCCCTAAAGTCGTCCTTGTTCATCGGCTCCTTTTTGATTGGATTCCCAGTCTCGTCGTACTCTTCGGTATCCGCTCTTGGCTCCCGCTTAAAGGCAGGCTCAGCACCGGTCTTCAAGCTGACACCTGACGCGAGCCCTTTGCCGAGCCCTCTGCTCCCAGCTTTTGCGCCCTCGGCCGCTGCGATGGCATTCAGATTGGGCTTCTTTGGCGCAGGCAGCATCGCATTGAAACCAGCAAACGACGATCCTCCTCCCAGGCGTGGCTTTTTCGCAGGCGGCGCGTCTCTCTGAATGTCATCCTTGTCCTGTCGCGACTGCGATGCGCCTGGGAGATTGACTTTGATTCGTCCTGGGTTGGAGCGGTCGACGACTTTCTGAAAGGCGGGTTTCGAGGCGAGCTTGGCGGCGACTTGAGGCGCAGAGGGTGCCTCGCTGTCGGATTCCGAGTCGGAGTAACCAGCGAGGAGGTTCATGGTGTTGGGAGGGTCTTGGCGTGGGGTGAAGGTTGAGAGAGGGCTGTGGTCGGAAAGTTTACAGGACGATGAGATCACATCGGCGCGTCAACGGGTGCAGCAGCCAAGCCCAACCAGGGTCCATGTACATGCACATGCACTTCCCCACAGCCTCCACTTCTGCATCTCTGCCCATGGGCGTTTTATGATTCCCGTCAGCTGGTCTGAGCATACATAGCTTTCGATTCTGAGATGTTGATACCTTTACCCTGACCCTCCAACCATGTCCCTCCTCCAAAATGAAGAGTAAGCGGTCGTCCTCTTCGCGTCGCATCGCCAACTGACTGACGTATGTAGTTTCGTGCTATACCAGCTTCGCACCGCCTACCTAGGCGCCATCAAGGACGGCGTGGGTGAGCGCCTGATCAACGTCGACTCGAGTGTTCTGAACAACCCAGCATTCCGTGCCGCTGGCTGGGTGCCCAATGCCTCCGACATCAAGCGCACCTACTCCCCACCGATCCCCACCGCCATCACCTCCGAGTACTTTCAAGCCCCGCGTTCGGCTGGCTTGAAGCCACCCGAGGGTTTCGGAGAAGATGAAGAAGAGGGTGGCATGGTCACGGGAGCCGGAAGCAACGACACCGTGGGGCCAACCTTGAATGCGAAGCGCAGACGGCGCAAGGAGCAGCTGGAGGAGGATGACAGTAGCGACCTCAGCGATGAGAGCGATGATGAAGATGATTCGCAAAGGTAGGCCAACATCCTGCGCCGCGACCTGCAAACTGATCAAGCCACAGACCAGCCAACCTGATCAAGTTCACCAAGATGCCCCTACGCACCCGTTCTGGTTCGTCGCCCATGCGTGGATCAGCACTGCGCAACGAGCTTGCAGAGGCCGGAGAAGGGCCTTCACTCATGATTACTTCACCGTCGCGCCCGCCAGAAGAGATTCCGCGTAGATCGTCCCTGCCCACTGTCGAGTCGTCCAAAGGAAGGGCTAGGAGAGACACCATTACCAGCAGCGAAATGTCGTCAGAAAACGAATTCGACAACTCGTCCTTCAGGAAGAGACGAGTTAAGCCTCGAAAGGCTGCCAATGCAAACCACTCGCTTTCCCAACGGAAAGATGAGTATCAAGGAGATGCTGCTGGTTCGCGTGGTCGTTTGGAAGCTCTGGACGAAGGCGACGAGTCTGATGATTCTTTGACGTCTGAATTTTCTGGTTCTAATAGCAGCGCCTCCTTCATAGGTGTAGCTGGCGACCCTTTAGACTCTTCTCCCGCAGGCGGCGACCTTCCCACCATGCCTGGCTTGACGCCTTTCCAAAACATGTCTCCCAAAAAGAAGAAGAACGAGCCAGTCCAGCCGACGCTTCAGGCCCTGCCTCCACCACGACCAATCAGTTTTGTACTGCCCGTGAGTGCCTTGACCCAAGCAATTCGGGCCAAGGAGCAGAAGCCCTCCGATCCCCTGCAACGTTTCGCCATGTGGAATGCTGCGAGCGAGGCTCAACAAAACCCACTGTTTATCAAACTATACTGTCCATTTTCTTCCAAGCCATCCAAGCCTATGGAGCTGCTGATCAGGAAGTTCAACGACAAAGGAGAGGGACCTACGGTGGCAGAAGCCATCGGATATGCGTTGCACCGCTACCAAGAAGAGAAGCTGGAACCGCCATTGACAGCCGAACAGTTGAATGTCAACTGCTGGGTCATGCGCATGTACGACGACGGCGAGGTTGACGACGAATTTCCGCCGTTGACGAGGAACAAGCCACTCAAAGACTTTGCGTCCAACAACGCTCGCGGTATGCGACCTCGCGCAAGGGACAAGCCTTGGGATGAGTTTGCGCTCGTTGCAGCGACACAGCGGGAGTTTGGCGAAAACGAGAAGCTTACGCCTATCTACAGTCAAGAAGCTGCCAGTGCTGTTGTATCACAAGGCGATGGTGCCGACGGCCAGGAAGAGAGTGAGGAGAAGAAACCCGTAAAGCCCATGCCCAGTCGGGCTAAGAGCTTCAGAAATCCAATCACTGGTCCATCTTTTGCACCAACAGCGACCCGTAAAGACACGAGCAACTTGGCAGATGTGCCAAAGGTGGCGCCATCGCATGCCGCAAGTCGTACTGGAGCCCCGAGGATGGTCAACATCCATTTCACCGACGAGAATTTCAACACCAAACACTTTTCGTTGCCATGCACAACCGACACATATATTGCTGATCTGTTCGACCAAGTATGCCACGATCTCCAACTCGAAAAGGGCCTCTACATCCTCAAAGTAAGCGGCAGCACCACGGTAGCACCACCCGACCGCACCGTAGAAGCCCTTGACACACGCATGGATCTGGATCTCGTGCGCCGTCGCTTCGTAGGTGACGGCGTCTTCGGCCTCTCAGGCTCACCAGGTTCCTCATCTCCCAACGCACCCCTCATCATCAGCACGGGTGGCGCCCCCAAGAAGACCAAAAAAGGCGACCGCACCCACGCCGCCGTCTCCGGCGCAGGTCTTCTGCACCCCCTCGCCCGAACCGGTGACTCAGGTGCACTCGCCCTCTCAACAACAAACTACTACCGCCGCTACGCCGTCCTCCGCAAACAGCCCATGTCCTTTGCCTCGTCCACTTCGCGCATCATCGCCCTCGACAACGAGTACATCCACATTATGCCCGGCGAATCAAAAACCGGTGCCCGCGGCGGGTTTGGTGTCGATGTCCAGGGTAAAACTACCACTGTCCATTTTAGCAGCGTGGTGGGCAGTAAGGTGTCTAAGAAACACCCCAAGATGTTCAGAGTTATTGTATTCAAGGAGAGAGAGACGAAACGGTATGATTTTGAGGCTCAGAGTGTGGATGAGGCTGTGGAGATTGTGCGAGAGATTAAGAAGGGGGTGGAGCGGTTTCAGGAGGGGATTGTATAGGCCATTGAGGATGGGGATATTTGGGACTGAAGTTTATGTTTGTTTGTTGCTCTTTTTTTTGATAAAGTTGGGTATAGACGGCGGCAAGTCTATTTTTTTTGCTTGCAAGGGCGGGAGGTGTGATGATGATATCGGGACGGTTATCTTTTTTTTGGGTGGGTGGGTGGGGACCTGGATGGTGTTTGGACATTGCTGGCATCTATTCCAAAGTTACGAGAGATACCAAGGACTATGTAGATTCCTTCTTTCTTTTCTTCG